AAGGCCAGTGACATTACTGGCTCAAGTTAAGACAATTAAGCAAGGGCATATCAGTGTCTCAGAGAAGGAGGGGGGTCTCCATGGAAATGGCGTCCCTGTGCATCAGCAGATGGGAATGAGGAAGAGGAGGGCTGGCCCTCGGCTGCTCACTATGGGCATAGCCGGCCTGGCCCTGCTTGGACTATTGTGATCCCTTCACAGATCCTGGAGCCATGGAGACCCGAGCAGCTGGAGGTCAGGGGGCAGGGGGTGCAGGGAGACCCCATACTTCAGCCACTCTCTTGTCTACCCAGAGTTCTCCGGGTGAGGGGTGAAGGGAGTCAGTGTGGAGTGACTGACAGTCCTGGGCTGGCTCCAGGGAGTAAAGGCATCCCCACACCAACCAACCAACACCCAGATTGTGAGGGAGTCCTGCCGGGATGGACCTCCCCAGGCCCCCAGGAGGAGCTCCTGTGTATGCACTGGCCCTGGGTGGCAGAAGGGGGCAGGTGGGGACAGAGATGAAGACGGGAAGCCCCTTCTTGCCACGCCCCTCTCAATGTAGGCCAAGTGGCAGGCAAAGGAGAAAAGGAGAAGTGAGCCACAGGGGCACAGCCAGACCTTGTGGGTGATGACAGGACATCGTGAGTCCAGGGAAGGGTCCTGGGGTCTGAGTCCTGAGTCTGCCCCCTCCCCACACACGTGCCCCAGCCTGGCTCTCTCTGACCTGCTGACCCTGTATAGTTCTCACATGTCATCACAAGGCCAACCCCAGGAAATCCAACCTGCCCTGGCTTCACCTGAGGAACTCACTCAAAAAAATGTAAGGCACCACAGCAGAGATGCGTGTGACTTTGAGTCTGGGTATGTGTGAGCACGCTTCTGGGGCCTCTTGGGTGAAGAGAGTCCCAGGCTGGGAAGAGTCTTCGTGATCGTCTAGAGAAGCACCCTGATCTTAGAGAGAGGAGAATTCAAGGCCTGAAGAGCTGATGTGACTTCTCCGAGTCATACAGTTTAGCAGCAGCCAAAAGCAGCCAAAAACCAGCCTGAGTTCCAGAGTCTTCTCCTGCCACACACCCTTTGGCCCCAAAGTCACACTTTGCTCTCACCTGGGAGGGACCCACACTGCCCTCACTGCTGGAGCTGCCTGGGGGACGTGCCTGGGGGGTCCCCTCTCCTCCCCTCTAATCCAATCCCGCAGCTCTAGCTTGTTAATTTTATGCTTCATCGGTTGGCAGCTACAGGAGACTTTCCCTTAGGCAGGATGAGGCTCTGCACACAGCCTTGCTCTCCTCCACCTTGGCTGCCTCCAGTTGACTTTTGTTGAATTTTTTTATTTGTAGTTTCAATTATATAAGTGATGCATGACTACAAATCCTACTGTAAAAAGATTGAAGCACTAAGAAAATATAAACAGATGACCCCTTTACCGCCCCCCTCTTCCAATGAAGGGCTGTAACGGTTCAGTGTATCCCTTTTAGCTGACTTTACAGCAAACATTCAGCCTGCTCTATGCTGCCTTTATGAAAAGAATGTCCTGGTTCCCAGGAATTCTCTGATCTCAGCAGAGCCTATTCAGGAAGGGGACCTGAACGGGAAGGGAGGAAGGTGTAGGAAATGGCGGCAGAGCAAAGTCAGAGGCAGGGCAAGAGACAAAGAGGGGTCTCTTACCTTTCGGTCATCTTTAAAGACGTTGGCGGTGGCCGTAAAGTGCGGGATGACCTTCTTACAGTGTGGGCACCCTGCGGAAAAAGAGGACAGAATGTTGCACGTACGTGCAGGGGAGGCTGCAGAGCCAGGTGCCCCTCCTGGAACTGATAGAGAAACCTTTCCAGGAGCTTCCCTCCACCCAACAGACTGTGGTGGTGGGGGGGGGGGGTTCGTCTGACTCCCACCCCTTGCACACCACACTGTCAGGGTCCTGTGTCAACTCTGCCCCTCAAACACTGCCCTGTGTTTCTGCTGTCAGCACGAGGGCTTTGTAGGAGTCTGTGTGCAAACGTCAGGTCCGCTCCTGCCCGGGACCTCCCACCCCACATCCTCCTGCCATACACCGGGTCTAAGAGGCTGAGGGTGGAGGAGATGGTCACTGCAGTCTTGCTCTGCAAGCTCCTTCCACGGAGGGCTGCCTGGGAGCTACAGCACAGAGGGAGCTTTGGGCCTGGAAAAGGAGAATGTGTGCTCAGGACTCTCTGAGTCTGTTACAAAGCCCTGCTCTTGCCTTATGGACAACAATAAATCTGTCCATGTCACGACTGAGAAAACGGAACAGAGAAAGGTGGTGGCAGGAGCAACCGTCTGAGCCCCCACTGCTCATGTTTTGCTGCTAACGTCTACATTCTCAACAAATCCCCACCCCAGACCAAGCAGCCAGACCAGGCCCCAGGTCCTCACGCTACCCTTCTATCCTCTGCTCTACAATCAACCTGAGCCCTGGATCCAGGGACAGGAGACCCAAGGTCAGGTTAAGAGGAGAATAAGCCACTGGGTTGTCAGGACCTGGGTTCCCGACTATGGAGAGAGGCCTATCACAATGGATGAGGACCCATAACTCCAGAGGCCCAGGGTGTGACAACAATGCTTGTGTCAGCTGGGGTGACAGACCCCTTTCTTGGCCCTTCCCTCAGCATGAGCAGATCCAAACCCAAGCCCACCCCTTTCTACCATTCCCCAGACACTGAACACAACTGCCATGAGAACGGAACTGCTTTGAGGGAGGATTTCCTTGACTCTGGTAATTAATTCTGATCAAAGCACAGGTGGGAAAGGCCAAATGCCCTACGGGGAGAGTTGGTGAACAGTCGGGCCGGCCAAGGCGAGGAACAGAAATGGCTTTGCCCATCTGCTTTCTCTCTTTTTAAAATAAGATAATAACGACTGGCATTTCAAAGAGTTTTGTGAAACCAAATTAAAGCTGAGCTACAACTTTAATGTGAATTTAGCGTTGGAGCCAGTTCCTGAGATGGGCAGGATCACCCATATGGCCCCTGGCTGGTGGAGCTGCCAGCGGGCCCCAGAACAGTGTGGACAACGATGGGGAGGGGCAGGAAAAGGATTTTCCCAACATCCACTGCAGGTGTAGAGAAGAGAGCTGGGCTGGATGTGAGTTCTATCAGAACTGAATGCTGCAGAGTGCCTAACTTGTGGCAGATACTAACAGATGATTTTTTAACGGCCTCAATGGCAATTACGAGAACTCTTTACTAATCTGACCCAATGGAGGGAATAGCTCAAATTCATGAAAATTTCACACTATAGAGGAATGATGGTTATAGATTCCAAAACATCTAGAGGGCACAATGTGCTGGTCGACAAGGCTCACCAGAGCAGCATCTTCGCAGCACCTAGCGGTCCCCTGTGAGCGGCACACGGATGCCCACTAATAGCATTAGGCTGGCTGGAAAGAAGTTATCCTCTCCCCCAAACCTGGTATCACTATTAATTTTTCCTTTCTAAGCTCTTTGCTTACCGAATGTATAAAGGTAATTGTCAGCCTAGTGCAAATTCCTATTACCATCAATTTAAAGTATCTAGATCTCAGATTAATCACCTTCTGGTGCATCTAATTTTATCATTATCCAAAAGAAAGAGCATGGCAGATGAATAACTGGAGCGGAGGCTGTTTTAGGAAGGGCATGAAGATGTTCCCAAGAGGTGTCAGGTGGGCCAGAAGAGGCATGATCTTTTAATCTGGGCTCTTTGAAAAGGCACCACCTATGTGTAGCAAGGAAAGAAACTTCCCAGAGTGGGAAGACAGAAAGAAAGACCGAGGACAGGACAGAAAATTCCAATGCTAAAGACTCAGCACGCTGGCCTAAGAAGGGCAGTCACCATGACCAGACCACTGAGAGCAAAGTGGGGGCTTGGAACAGGAGAAAACAATGAAATAGCCAGAGGAAGATCTCTGTATAAACCGGGAGGAGGTGGGAGGAGGAGGTGGGAGGAAGAGGTGGGAGGTGGGGAACATAGGGAAGAAGTGGGAGGTGGGAGGGGGCAGGAGCTTGAGGACACGGGGTGGGGGGGAGCTGGGAAGTATGGGACATGTCGGGGAGGTGGGAAGTGGGTGGGAGACAGGAGGTGAGAGGCAGATGGGAGGTGGGGGACATGGGGGGAGGTGAGAAGCAGTAGAGATTGAGGAAGGATATGGGGATTGGCTTTTGCTTCTACTTTATACTTACCTTTATCAGGTGTGTGATCTTTCTTAGTATTAGGTTCTTTATATGTACATAACCATAAGGATGTGTCATATACTATATATAAATAAGTATATATTATTTTCATAACTGAAAACTTTTTAGAGATTTGCCTTTGGATAGATCCACCTCCCTGATGAGCATCTCTGGAACAGGGTTCAGGCACAGGAACATGCAGTAGAGAAGGGAAACTCTAGGTGCCAGGCCCTTTGAAGGAAGCCGAGTCGCCCAGTGGAGCAGCCCTGAACGGGCTGTTTCGAGTTGTTTCTTGCCAGAGTACATAGACTGTGAAGCCCTTGAGCTGTGGCAGGGACCATGCCTCCTTCCCTTGTATCCTGGGCCCCAGATACCACCCAGCACACAGTGGTTCTGTGAGGGAGGTCGTTAGCACCCCAGTGGGGTAGGAGTCCTGACTCCAGAGGTCTGGGGGAAAGAGGGGAGCAATCCCAGGGGAAAGTTTGTAGTCTGGACTTTCTAAAGTCCACCCAGGGGTTGGTCAAGGACCTCTGCTTCTGCGGCCAGGGTTTCACTGCTGCTGAGAAAGCTCATACTCTCTGAATTATGTCTATGGCAGAAAGAGCACCAGCCCAGGCTGCAGGGAGGGCTCTGTCGCTTCAGTGCTCCGAAGCCTTGGGTAGGTCACACATCTTCTGGGTCTTAGTCCTGTGCCTGGCATTCTGCCCAGAAGGAAGACAACTTCTTAAAACCCACTCAGCCTTCTAGGCATATGCTAAGGACAGATGAGGACAGACAAAGACAGTGAGAGGCTCTGCAAGGAATGGAGAGAGCCCAAGTCCCGCTCTGACCTGGAGAAGAAAAGGCAAAAACAGAGGGACACTTTGTTGCCTGAGGGCAGGGGTCTGAGGCTGGGAAAAGTGGGCAGGAGGCAAGCCCTCTCAGAAAGTGAGAGGGAGGAGTGACTTTACGGATTACTGACACTTGAAAAGTGGGGCAGGAGGGGAGGCAACAGGAGGGCTGGCTACAAGCAAGCAGGTTTATGACTAGATTGAGTTGCCTGGCTTCTCTGTAGAGCGAAGCTTTATTATCCCCACTCCATTAAGCTGAGCTGTAACCGGGGGGAGAGAGACAAGGGCAACAGAACAGTGGGAAATTCAAGAGCCTTCCCTTTTAAATATCAATTAACTTCAAGATGGAACAACACAAAATCCAAAGGTCACAATCACACGTGTCACTTCCTCAACTTAAACTTTGATTAAAAGGGGGATAGAGGGGGAAGTTGGCTCAGAAAAATGTGGTGTGCTTTTCCCACAGATTCAAACTCGATGGCATCAAAGCCACGTGGAGGAGGTCAGGGAGGAGGACTGGGCTGGGGTACTCAGGAAGACCAGGAAAGCAGAGGCCAAAATAGGTCGGCTAAATTCCAGGGTTTTAAGGTGAAGTCAGTGCTCTGTGGGACAGAAGGAGCCAAGGGGTAGGTGGAATTGGCAGGTGGGAGGCAAGCAGCCTAGAAGATTCCAGGGACATGAGACTGAATAATTTTATGGCAGGCCCCTGCCACAAACAGAAGCAGAGGGCTTTACGACTGATGTGAGCAAGGCTCCCCAGAAACAGGGAGAGAGACCCTGACAGAGCTAACAGGAAGAGGCCTTGGATTTGGAAAGACCTCAGCCTGGGATGAAACTGAGGAGCCCTGACACAGCAGGGATGAGCCCAGGGTCCGCCTGTGGCTGCACTGCTCCCTGGTGGAGGGATCTTCTTGGTTCAGTCTGGCCCACCCCTCCACCTTGCACCTTGGCGAGCACCCCCCAGCTACTTACAAGGGGCATAGAACATGACCAGGGTGTGCTTCTTCTTCTTCAGGGTCTCCCGGAAGTTGTCCCCTACCAGGTGCAACACGCTGGTCTGCTGCTCTTCCCACGTGGGCTCTGGGGGTGGAGGGGCCTCAGGGCTGCAGGAATGGCAGGGAGGGGAGACGGTCATAAAGGGAGGCCTGTGCAAGGGCATACACTTCCACACCCACCTGCTCAGAGGAGCACCCAAGAAGAAATCACTTTGCATCCTTTCTAAAATTTAATTTAAAACCTGTGTTCCAACGTGAATAAATCTGTACCATCAACAAAGATATTCTGATTTCCTCTGAGGAGCTTATTAAAAAGCCATTTTGTGATGGTGTGGAAGACCTGAGCTCCTTTTAGGGCAGAGCAGTCTCTCCAGGTGTCAGCCATCATCTTGCCATGGGTACAGAAACTCCTTCGCCTGGGTTCCCCTCTCTCTCCCTCCCTCTTCCTACTGCCTCTTCTGGGATCCTGAAGGACCCTCCATTATGCTTTGCGCTGGTGGAGAGAGCATGGACCAAGGAGTGAGATGGGTCTGGATCCAGATTGCTTATCACCTGTGTGAACTTAGGTAAATTACCAAACCCCTCTGAGCTTCATTTTCTTTTCTGTTAAGTGAGTACAATGATACCTATTTCCTGGGATCCCTATGAAGAGCAGAGACAGTGTACCTAGGGCACCTAGTCAGGCCAGCAACTAACAGTTGCTAGGAGCCCATGTGCTCTAAGAAATACTAGGCATTCATTGTGTGTTTCTAATTTTTCAGTCTTTTTCTGTCCACTAGTTCCCTCCATTGTGCCTCACAAAAGGACAGATCTCAGCATGGCCCCTGTGCAAGGATGACACACAAATTCATGAAACGTTCCGTATTTTTTCGTGATGAGCACTGGGTGTTATATATAAGTGATGAATCACTAAGTTCTACTCCTAAAGCCAATATTATACTGTATGTTAACCAACTAGAATTTAAATAAAAACTTGAAAAAAAAAAACCCAGAAACAAAAAAGTCAGATCTCAGGGTCTTTTAAAAGCCTTTGTTGCCTTGTCCCCCTCTCTACAACCACACTGCTCTGCTCCTTCTCTGAGAAGGGTCTCTGGGGAGTGGTCTGCACCCAGTGCTGCCACATCATCCCCTGCACTCTCTCCTTCACCCATGCACCACTGGTTTCCACCCCTGGCCTCAGCCCTGGCCCCAGCCCTGAACCCAGCTGAGTGCAGCGCTGAGCCAGCCCAGGACCATTCCTCTTTCAAAAGTCCCCTCTATCGAGTGTTCACAGGGTCTCCCTCCTCTTCAGGTTCTATCTGAGCCCCTGCAATTCTCAAAAGATCCCATTCATCCACATGGCTTCCATAATTCCTGTGCCTGAGGAGGATCTGAGTCCAGACCTCTCAACAAGGCTCCCTAATTCCAGGTGTTTTTCAGATACTTCTGCTGGAAGCCCCCACTTGGAGGTCACCCCAATCCTAACAAAACAGAACAGATCACTCTTCCCCCTCCTCCACACCTCCCAAACCAGCTTTCCTCAGCTACCTCTCCATTTTGGTCAATGGCACTGCTGTTCCTGTGACCAAGACCGGCCCCTCCCAGCCACCCTGTCTTCCTCCCTTTTCTTCCTCTAGGTCCCCTGCCCTAACCCTGGCTCGTGGACGACACCTGACCTCCCTGCTCTACCTTATCCCTGAATCCTGCCTCCCTGGGCTGGCCTGCTGGTGGGCCTGTCTCAGTCACTCACAGCACACTTGTGTACAAGCCTGGAAACACCATCGGCCTCACCCAAATTCCTCACCCTGCTCCTGCGTGACAGGCCTCGGTCTTCCATCTCAGAGCTATCTGCTGTTCATGCTCTGCCTGAGAATTCTTTCCGAGCTCCCAAAAGAACTACTATTTGTCTCTGGGCAAGGCCGCCAACCTCTCTGAACCTAAGTTCCTTCATCAAAGAAATAGGAATAAAAACTCTTGACCTCATAGGATCTGAGGATGAAATGGGCAACAGATACAAAAGCAATTGGCAAAGCCTGGGAAGGTATTGCCACTTATGTGGCAATACTGTCAGTTATAGATCCAAATAACAGCTTCCTTTCTCTGAGTACTGCCACACCACACACCGTGCTAAGCACAATAGTCTCATTTAATTCTCTAGATGAGTCTTTGGGAAAGTGTTGTCTCCGTTCTACAGATGGGAACAGGCTTAGTGAGGTCAAGTAAATGGCCCAGGGTCACAATCTAAGCACAGGTCTCTTAGACTCCAAAGTCCATGTTTTACCCTCAGTGCTTTTCAGGTGCTCAGCAGCAGAGAGACTCTGCAAAGAACAGACACAGCTCCTCTGTGCTCACTACCTGCAGCCAGGCCTCTCCTGATTCCCTCAGCTCTCCCACCACAAGTGCAAGCACCAAGAAACTGCCTGAACCCCACCCTGTTCAATCCTCCCAGGGTACCAGCTCTGGCACCGGAGGGAGGCTGGAGAGGCAGGTGTGAATGGTAACCTGCTTCTGACGCCAGAAAACCCAGAAGAGGGAGTACCTTGTCCCTTCTGGAAGTGAGCCACCACTCGCCTCTGATCCCTAAGAGGGAGGCCAGGCTATTCTGAGAACCTGCCCCCAGTGATGAGCAGGACAAAGTGGGAGAAGCTGAGACTAGGACCTCACTAGTGCACCCACCTCTTCCCAGGGGTCTCTCCTGAACCTAGTGGAACCTTCGTTCCCATTCTATAAGTGGGTATTTCTCAAAACACTATGGCTGTGGGTTCCATTCCCACTTCCTGAATCAAAGCTTCAGGGACAGCAGCCCCAGGATCTGTACTTTAAACAAGCACCTCAATACAATGTGACACATATATACTCCTAAGTTTGAGCACAAATGTCCTAACAAAGTAACTCAATCTAGATGCTGCTATTTTGCTTGGTTCTCATGTTACATTTGACTCTTAAAGTCTTGGTTTTCCTATGGGAATATACTATGCTTTGTACCAGGGACCTCAGCAAAGGCTGGAATATGTCTTCTTTTACTTTATCTCCCCTGCCTACCCAGTGCTGAAATGAGGAAATATTCCCAAATATTCAAGGGTGTGTGTGTGTGTGTGTGTGTGTGTGTGTGTGTATGCGCGCGCATCTTGGGGGAAGGGTGTAGATAGGAGAAAGTCTCCTTAACTACGTCCTAACAATCTCTGCCTCTCAAGCAAGGCCTGGGACTTCCTCCATTTCCCAGGGTACCTGTGTAATGGTTCTTCTTCCTCATAGGACAGGGAAATGCTAAGAACTGCAGGTTCCAAAGACCTTGGGTGAGGAGGAGGTCCTTGGGCTAGTAATTATGAGGCTACTCAGGTTCTCTGGACTTGCAGGCTGTTATGGGCTGAGTTGTGACCATACCCACCCCCCCAGCCCCCATTTACATGTTGAAGTCCCAGCCTCCAAGTACCCCAGAATGTGACTGTACTTGGAGACAGGGTCTTTAGAGAGACAATTAAGTTAAAATGAATTCACTGAGATGAGCCCTACCCTAATCTTACTGGTGCCCTTCCAAGAAGAGGAGATTAGGACACAGACACAGAGGGAAGACTGTGTGAAGATGTGGAGAGGAAGAAGACAGTCAAGGAGAGAGGCCTCAGAAGAAACCAGCTCTGCTGACGTCTCATCTTGGACTTCTGGTCTGTGGAACTGCGAGAAAATAAACTTCTGCTGTTAAGCTCCCCAAGTCTGTGTTACCTGTTGTGATAAATCCGCAAACTAATACATATACTGAGGGAGCTCTTCACAATCTGTATTGTCAGCCCCAGACCACCACAGGCTGCCTCGTGGACACATTACCGGAGGCCTGGTCAACCACCAGCAGACCTGGTCCTGAATGAGTTCAGCTCTGAGAGTGAAGAGCTGTGTGTGTCCTCCAGCCATCAAAGCAGATGGAATAAAACGCCATGAGGAAGCCTGGGGCTAGGTCACGGGGAGAGGGGGTGGTCTAAGAAGACAGACATGCCACCCGCTGCACTGGTGCTGGTGAAACTGCATCCGGGAAGGCTACCAGTGATGTGCTGCATGAGAACATTGGCCAGCACCCCAGAGGTGGCTTTAGAATTGGAGAAATCCAGTCCGCCTTGGCTCTTGTGGCCCTCAGCCAGGGTTAGCAGCCTCTAAGGTTTACTCTGTCTCCTCCAGGCCTGTTCCAGTGGCCGCCAGCCAGGAGTCAGGATGTGCTACTGAGACCACAACACTTACTTTCGCATCCACTCAATAAAGTTCTTCTTTGTTCTGAGCGCAGGCACTGCATATTTCTCTCCGTTCTTAAAATACTTCAATGTAGGAAACTCGGAGATGTGGAATCTTTCTGCCAGGGCCTTGTTGACAGTGGCATCGACAGCTGCAAGGACACCAGAGCTCTGGGATGGGGGAGAGGCCAACCATGCATGACAGCCTCAGACACCGTGCTGGCAGAAGAGGAGCCCAGATGCCAGCCTCCAACCCGCCCGGGACCTGCCAGTGTTTCACTGGGAGTGGCTGGCTCCCTGGGCTCATATATTCCAGGGAATGACTGCACACTAGAAAGTGCATTATTTCTCATTTGTGGGCTGAAATGAGACTTTTAAATCTGCCCTGCCAATTAGGCTGTGTAGACTGTGGCTGTTCCCAATAGCCAGGGTCCCAGAGCAAAGAGAGAGAACTTTGAGGCTTCACCCCAGAGCCATGACCTGGCAGAGGCCGCATGGACAGCGTGGGAACATGACCCCATCGTCTCTCTGCACCGCTCCATCCCTGCTATGGGCCCCACTGTCTACAACATGTGTACTCAGGGACGGTGAAGTCCTGCAGACCTCAGGGATCAGGGAAGTGGCTGCGGAGCCTGCGCGGGAAAGTCACTGTGATGATTCAGGTCACTGATTCTTCAGAAGAAAACGGTGGTGGGGAGGTTAAGAAAAGGAAGCTTACGTCTGCTTCTCCATGGAGGACTTCTGCTGCATTCTCAAACTCTGGCTTCATTTTCTTACAGTGACCACACCCTGTGGGAAGAAATCAAGAGAAAACATCCCCATGGCATGGAGGCTCCAGTGACGCCCCTGCCTCTGTGCAACAGATGGGCCCTATTCACAGACACCAGGGGGACCTGAGAGAAAAGAAGCAGCACCAGCTCAGAGGCAAGAAATCTTTTCCCTAATCCACTTGGTAGAGAGGGGAAGGTGTGCAAGAGGCAAAAAATGAAGTCACTACATGAAAAAGACTGGCTATATGTATCTATAGGTCCTATACTGGATATATACATATATAGGTCCTGTGTGCCAGGCACTGCTATGAGAGCTTTATATCCTCACAACAGCCCTGCAAGGTATAACCTGATTATCTCCATTTTATAGATGAGAAAACTAAGGCACCAAGAAGGTAGGGGACTGGCCAAGGCTACTTACACTGCCACAGGTCACAGAGCCAGGGTGCGAACCCAAGCAGTGTGGCTGGAGGCCACAGTCACAGGCAGTGTGTGCTTCCCAGCACCACTACCACTGCCATCCCCTTCCCCAGGGGCAAAGGGAGCCCGAGGCTTGAACCGGGAATAAGCATTCACAGAAGCAAGAATACATTCCAATTGTCCCCACAGGGGAGGATGTATGATATGACAGGCACAGGGATCAGGCCTGTCATTTCCAAATGCCTATTTCTTCATATAAAGATTGCTCTGCCCTCTCCTCCAACCACACACATGCAGTAACATCATGAATAATAAAATTTGATACATTAAAAAGTAAACAAACACTTCGATAGGTGATGTCAGGACATTTGTACATGGCTTTCATTTTAGTAGAGAGTACTTTCTGGCTTCTAACACTGCAGGGGCTGTGAAGCAAGGAGGTCCAGACTGGCTCAGGCTTGGGACAGCTAAAAGGTGAACCTGGCTCCGTGGGGGCCACGCTTGAAGCAGGCTAAGCAGAAGGCAGGGACAGAGCTCGGCCTTCTCGTGGGGTACGGCTGTGTGGAAGCCAACAGCACTGCAATTCTGTAGCTAACTTGGGAGAAAGGGAGGCAGACAGACATACCAGTATTAGCAGAGGAGACTTCCCACAGCCTCCGGAAGCCACCAAGCCATGGGAAGGGCTTTCCTGCTTCCATCTGAGCACTTGGCTGGGGCAAAAGTTCCTGTCTTCTCCAAGGTCACTCCTGCAGAGCTCAGCCCCAGGGGGTACCAGAACACAAACATGTCCCCTCCACCCCTGCCTGTTCTCAGCTTCCTCAGTCCACGCTTACCCGTTCCTCCCAGGGACAAGGGGTTCCACAGTGGCTATGCTGCATCCCCCCCTCCCCCACCCACACACTGACAGTAGAAACTTTAAGCGATCATGCAGCATCCAGGCCAGAGCCGTCAAGCCCCTCTTTGGACAGAGCACTCTGGGGAGCCATGAGATGACTCAGTGGATAGAACTGTCCCTGATGCAATTCAGCCCAGGGAGCAGCTACAATTCTCAGTGGCACCAGCATTTTGGTCCTTCTCAAATGGGCCCAAGGATAAGGGAAACCTGTGGGTTCATGGTCTGACTACAGCCCACTCAGGATGCCTCGAACCATAGATCACCATGACATTGAAACATAAGAACATCATTTGCCAGAAATGAACATTTAGTGCTATCACAAGCCATTAGTCACTTTCTAAGCAATCAGGTTACAAAGGATTGTTTTGTTTTGTTTCAGTTAAGTTCATCTAGAACTGAAAACACGTTTTCCCCAAAGAAACAATTTCATACACAGATTCTAGGCAGGTTCTCAGGAAAGACTATAAAAACCCATTTAACAGAATGTGCCTGAAGCATATAGAGTGTGCAGTGTTATTTCTACTTCACTGAACTGTCCCCCAGATGGAAAACACACGATCCAGCTCCGGACACCACACAGGCCTCTGCCTGCGGCGAGCTGCTACCCACAACAGCAAGAGAGAGCATCTTCCTCAGCTCAGGGTGGGACTCTGGGGCTTCCTGGGTCACTGACACTCTTAAGAATTTAATAAAAGCTTCTCCTTCCCTTCTCCCAGACTGATGCGTATAAAGTCCAAATTTACGTATAACTTCATAGGGATCCGATCCCCTATTTGGCTCACAGTCCCCAGTTAAAAGTCAAGGCACACAAGGCCCAACTCCAAGGCATTCTTTCCCATGGGAGGTGGGGCAAAAGAGCACAGAGCTGTCCCTACAGGTGTCAAGGCTCAAGTGTCCATTCACACCAATCCATGTGTCAGGAGTAATGGAATATTCTGCAGAAGAGTCTACTGACTTGACGTGGAATATACTAAAATGAACTTTTTTTCCCTGGTTCTCACTAAGAGCAAAGGAGTAAGTCATTCTCTGGAGCTTATGGTCAGGATGAAGGGGTTCTAGAATTCTTAAAGTGGACCCCCACTCCTTCGGCCTGCCTCCAGGCTGACAGCTCCTGGCAGCCTGCCCCAAGGGATCACCCATTCTCCCGTTCCCAGACTGGCCCTTCCTGACTGTGGTGGTGGAGGCTCACCTTGCATGAAGAGAAGTCAGGAAAAGGAAGCTCAGAGGAACTCCTAATGCTGATCTGTCACCCAAGAATTCAGCCTGCCCTGGAGAAGAGGAAGTGAGTGGCCGGGGTCACCCACTCAGTCCAGTGGAGACCTGGGCTCAAGGCTCCAACTGGCCTCTAAAAAAGGCAGGAGTGGCAGGGAGACTCACCCCTGACCACCCTCTCCCATAAACAAGATATGAATGGTATCGTCAGGCCAAGTGCCAGCAGGGCCCATGGTCAAGGTGGGCAGTGCGATGGACTGGGGACTGGGGGAGGGAAGATAAAGAAAAGCCAGCCATTGCCACTGACAGAAAACCACTATTTCTTTCCAAAATGTCCCAATGTGACAGGACCCCTGAAGATAAGAGAATTCACCTTCATACCTTTATCAAGTTCTGGCCCTTTGATGCCACTGTCCTGCTGGGGTAGCAAATAGACTTCCATATCACCTGCTAGCTTCTATCTGTGGTGGGCCAGAGATGGACTCTGAGCCTGAGAATTGGCTCACTGGGAGGAAGGGTCTATCACAGACATGGGAGGGACAAGTGGAAGATATGCCGGGAAATGTCCAGCCTCTTTAGTTTGCACTCATGCCTCTCTCCTGGACTGCTGGCCCGGTCTCCCAGGACTCTCCTTAAGATAATAAAAGTACCTGCTCACTGTACTGGGCTTTGCCAGCCCAATGAGACAGATGCGACAAGCTCATTAGAGCCAGAGATGGGCCCTGACATGGGATTGAGGTGGATCTTCTGGCTGGAGTTCCCATCACTGTATCCACATGACACAAAATTCCCCCCAAATTCTTCTGTCCGTCAGCACCCACTCCTCATCATCACAGCCCTTGCCCTGATGGACCAGGCATCTCCACACAGTGCCTGCCAGGCTCCGGCCCCTACCCTGAGTCTTTGGTTCATTCCATCCCCACCAAACCAACCATTTCTCTTCTACTCACAAAGTACTTATTCATATATTTCCATGGCATTTAATTTCGTACTGCCTTGTGACTGTTATATTGCTGTCTTCTGATATTTAGGAGCAGCCAGGACATCTTTTCAAGACATAAATCAGATCAAACTCTCTTGGTTATAACTTTGCAATGGCTGTCCATTACAGGTACATCAAAATCCAAACTCCACCATGGCCATAAACTGCACGCCATCTGACTCTCCCACCCACCGACCTCAGCTCCTGTCACCTCCCTCCTGTCCTCTGCTCTGCAACCTGTGGCCTTCTTTCTGTTCTATCAGACCAAGTTCACTTCTACTTCACGGGTCTTCATGTACTCTCACCTGGAACATGTCTTTTCCCCATGTCTGTGCACGGCTGACCACTTTCACATCATTCAGGTGTTAGCTCAGATGTCACTTCCACAGAGAAATTCCCTGATCATCTAATCCAGAGGAGCCTCACACCATCATGTTCTCTTCCAATATCCTATTTATTTTCTTAACTGTACTCAAAACAACTGGAGTGATCAGGAGGTGCCTATGGTGGCTCAGTCAGTTAAGCATCTGAATCTTGATTTCGGCTTGGGTCACAATCTTGTAGTTTGTGAGTTCAAGCCCCGCTTCGTGCTTTGTGCTGACAGAGCGAAGCCTGCTTGGGATTCTCTCTCTCCCTCTCTCTGCGTCTCCCCAGCTCGTGCTCTCTCTCAAAATAAATAAATAAACTTTAAAAAAACAACAACTGGAGTCATCTTCTTACTTGAACCTGTCCATTCCAACTGGAATGCAAGCTCTGTACAGACTTGGCTGTGTGTCTAGCTCACCACCGTATCCCTGATACTGAGGATGGCAGTCAACACACATTTTGGATGAGTTAACTTCATGCCTACACTGTTCAGGTTTACACCTGTGCGCACAAGGTTTAACTGGACTAAATTCTTTTGGGGCAAGAGTCATGCTTGTATCCGAATAGTTGCTAGTTTGACTATTTAGTATAACTGGCAGCCAAGCCAGTTACTGGGTACATACCCACCCCCTGCCCACCATTTATTCACTTCTGCTCCTTACAAGGTCTGTAAAACATCTCTGGAAATCTCCAACATCTATAGATTTTGTTCTACAGCTTCTCCTTCATACCCTAGAGTACTCTTCCCCTTGCTTACAGCACCAGTTCCCTCTGCTTCCTGAACAAGATACGAAGGCTAGGCAATAAACCTCTGTAAAGAGAGTTATGACAAGGAGAATGACCAGGCCCCAAAGAAGAGAAAGGTCTGGCCAGACGAACATCTCCCTTGTTGGTACCCACCTGTTCTGGAGCTCTGTGGGTCCTGGGCAGTGCCTGCCTTGACCCCAGCCCCAGCCTTTTGGGCCTGGCCTTCAGGATGTCCTGGCCATGGGGGCTGCGTGAGAGCCAGAGGAGGAGGTTACAGAGCAGAAGCAGGACTCCAGCCCACTGAGTTTTAGTGTCCTGATTGTGATTTGATAGGCCATTAAGTTTTACTGCCAAACTTCCTTGTTGGGTTTTTATCATCTGTGTAAGTGCACTTACG